CTCTTTCCCCTCCATGCACCTTACCTCCTAAAGGAGATCCCACGTCACATTATTTGTCCTCACCTGCCCTGTCATTCATCTGTCACCTCCTCCTTTCTCCTTCCACCCAGCTCCCAACCTTCCCATTTCAATACTGCCAGCCTGTGCTGTGGCCATTTTTATCAGAAGCATAGAACGGCTAACATGGCCCAGGCACTGCTCTAATGTTTTACAGAAGAGCTCATTCTTCATCACAATGCTCTGATCGTTTTACAGATGAGGAAACTGAGGCACAGATTAGCTAAATAAACATAGCTGGTAAGTAGTAGAGCTGAGATTCAAACACAGGCCAGTCGGCTTTGCTCTTGTCCACTGCCCCACACTGCTGCTTGTGCAGCTGCCTTGTATCCATTCATGCCACCCTTCCCCTCCTCACCATGTCCAACTTGTACCTATCTTTTACTGTCTCTCCATAGCTACCTGATGCTGTCTTGTGCCCACCCCTTGACTGCCTTATGCTACATCAGTTGTTTAACTTTTCTGAGCCTCAGTTTCCTCATCTGCAAAACTGGAATAGCAACAGCACCTCCCTCATACGATGAGTGAGGATTAAAATAAATAGTGTCGGCAAAGTACTTACCCATACCATCTTATGGCCAGCCAGCCCCATTTGACCCTGCCCCCTCTGTGCCCCCTAGTCGTGTACTGTGCGAGTGCCCACCTCTCTGGCAGTGGCTGGAGGTCCAGCACCTGTAGTCGGTGTGCCCGCTGAAGGTGGTCCTGGCACAGGGCTCGCCAGTGGCGCCCAGCATGCCAGGGCACACGTTGGCACACTCCTCGCCCAGCTTGTTGCCCACAATGTGGTTGGCGCCAGGTGAAGGCTGCAGCAGGCCCCAGTCAATGGTGGAGAGGTGGCAGAGCTCCTGGTTCTTCTCCACGCGCACGGCCCCACTCAGCACGGCCCCCAGCGCTGGCAGCCCCACGTCCCGCAGGTGCGGCATCTCGAAGATGACCAGCGCGTAGCCCAGGAAGAGGCGGGCACCGCGGATGACCGCTAGGTTGGGGAAGAGGTCACGCAGGCTCTCCAGGCCATAGACACGGAAGAGCAGCAGGTAGTCGGTGACCTGAGTGAGGCGTGGGAAGCTGAGGCCATGGAAGTCCTCGCCGGTGGCTGTGAACATGAGTAGGATCTGCAGGTGGCCCTCCACCACGCTGCAGTTTTCCAGCCGACGCAGCTCTGCCACCTCTGAGCGGATGTCCAGACTGGGGCACACTGTGGGTACAAGTGCAGGTAGCCCTCAGTACCGTTTGGGCCAAGAACCCCATGCGTGACCTCCTCCCCGGGCCTCAGAGGCCTCATTGGCAGCTTGGAGGATCCCCACCAGATGAGTCAACATGGGCAAAAGTGAGCTCCTGAACTTCCCTCCCAAACTCACATCCCCTTCTCAGTTGATTGCAACTTCATTCTTGCAGTCAGACTCCAAAGCCAAAGCCTCCATGATTCCTTTCCTTGTCTAACCCCTATACTCTGTGGGCTCTACCTTTAAAATGTATCCAGAGCCACCTGAACTGCTTTCACCATCATCTTCTCCTGGCTTTACAGCAATAGCTTCCTAAATAGTCTCCTCACCTCCACCCTGTCCCCTCTTTCTTCTATCCTCCACTCTATAGCCAGAGTGGAAACACAACGCACAAGTTGGATCGCTTTCCTCCACTGCTCAAAACTCCCCAATGGCTTTCATCTAGCTGATGAAAAGCCATAGTCCCTACCGCAGCCTACAGGGCCCCTGCAACTCTCCAACTTCACCCGCTTTCTCTCTCTTCTTCAGACACACTGGCCACGTTGCTGTTCCTCAAACAAGCTAGCCAAGCTTCTGCCTTGGGGTCTTTGCACTTTCTGTTCCCTCTGGCTAGAACACTCTTCCCTCTCAATGGCTCCCTCACCTCTCTTAAGTCTTTGCTCAGATGTCACCTTCTCAATGAGGACTTCTCTGACCATCCTATTTAATATGGTAACACTCCCTACTCCCCTTCCTACTTTTTTTTTAATAAAAAAATATATTTATTTATTTATTTTTGGCTGTGTTGGGTCTTTGCTGCTGCGTGGGCTTTCTCTAGTTGTGGTGAGCGGGGGCTTCTCTTCTGGCGGTGCATGGGCTTCTCATTGTGGTGGCTTCTCTTGTTGTGGAGCATGGGCTCTAGGCACGCAGACTTCAGGAGTTGTGTCACGTGGGCTCAACAGTTGTGGCTCGCGGGCTCTAGAGCGCAGGCTCAGTAGTTGTGGCACACTGGCTTAGTTGCTCTGCGCCATGTGGGATCCTCCCGGACTAGGGCTCGAGCCCGTGTCCCCTGCATTGGCAGGCAGATTCTTAACCACTGTACCACCAGGGAAGTCCCACTCCCCTTCCTACTTAATTTTTCTCCAAATGCTTAACACTGGCTAATATACAATTTACTTATTTATTTTGTTTATTGTAAGCTCCAGAAGGGCAGGGATCATTGTGTAATTCATTGCTGTATCCTTGGTGCCTGGTATAGTGCCTGGCATGAAATTGGTGCTCAATAAATATTTGATGAAGGAATGAATGAATGAAATCTGTGACTGGGCAGCAGTAGTCTGAGCTTCAGACACTCCACTTCTCTCCCAGGCCTGAGAAAGCTAGATGCCTGGTCCCTGCAACTGTTTACTCTCGAAGGGACATTCCGTGGCTCCCATTGCCAAAAGTTCAATTTTAAATTCCTCAGCCTGACATTCCAGGGTGTTGATAAACTGGGCCCCGCTAATGCCTCCAGCCTCAGAAGAGTTCCTTGGCCTGCCAACACCCTCAGTTCTTGCCCTGAAAGCCTCAGGTCAAGCCCCCACCTTCCCTGACCCTCTGAGTTAATCACTTCAGGCTCAGCTGCACTTAGCCCAGCACCCACACCAGAACACCTGGGGTATTGCCCCAACATTGCTTTCTGTCTGTCTGTCACCCCCTCCAAGGAGGGAGGCTGCTGAGGGTGGGACCGTTGTTAGTCAGCATCCCCACATGGTGCCCAGTTCAGGGCAGGAACCACTGGGCACTCAGGGGTTGTGGGTTGAATCGATGGACATCTGGATCCCAAGTCCAATCCTCCCTGGGGGACCTGGGTGTGTCTGGCTTCTCTGGATCGCAGGGCCCCAGCCCCCCTTTTCTTTCTTTCCCCAAGGCACGTAGGACCATTCTCCTAATGGGCTGGATACCTGGTCCCTGCACTCACTTCTCCCAAGGATACCTTCTATGGTCCCCACTCAGGAAGATTCAGGTCTGAATCCTTCAGCTTGCCATTCAAGTCCTGCTAACCTCTCCAGCCCCCACTCCCTCCCTTCCTACCCAGCCCTCAAGCAACAAGGCACCCATCATACATACCCAGGCCCATCCCCTGATGGTGAAAAGTGGGTGGCCAGGCTAGGCTGGCTCCCTGGGGCTTACTTCACATCTTCTCCCTGTTGTCATTAATGGTCCCTGTGCTTGGCTCTACCCAGCAACTGTGTGTGTGTGTGTGTGTGTGTGTGTGTGTGTGTCTGAGCACCTGCAGGTACACATGCACACACACAGGGAGAATGAGAAAACACTTCTAGTCCCTCCAGGCAAAGGCCAATCAGGCTCTGCAGGCAGATGGGGGGTTCTCTCAGGAGCCCACATGCCACTTCCCATCATGCCCCAGCCTCTCTAGGGCTCCCCTGATGGGAGTCATTTGGAAAAACAAATCTACGACCTTCACAGCTTAACCCCTGCCTGCCTCCCTTCAGGACATGGTGGTGTGCGGAGCTGCACTGGGAATGGGACATCTGGATCCCCTGACCAAACACCACCCTCCCCCACACCCTGCCCCCAGGGCCGTGCTCCTGTCCTGACAACTGTGCTCCTGGCTGGCATTTGCTATGCCCTGGCCTGGCACAGTAGTGGAGGAGGGGGAGGGGTGGAGGAGGGGAGGGGTGCAGGGGTGGGGCTATGCCTTGCATACAGTGCCTCTGTGACTAGCACTCTTCAGGGGACCCCCTGCCCCAACCCATTCACATCACTCCTCTGTCTCTGCAGGAAGGGGAGACTCTGCTCTGCCCCTGGAAGTCCCAGTCTGAGGGCATCATGGGACCCTTCAGGCAGGCACAGAGAACTGGATTCCTGAGTTTCCTCGGTCTGGAAGGGAATGGTGGGTGTGGGGAAAGGGACATCTCTTCATCCTTCCACCTTTGAATCTTCCACTCTCAGCACTTTTTCCTCTCCCTGCCAAGCCCCCAGCACCCTCCTGAGGGCCACTTCGTCTACATGGTCCCAACCCCCAAAACCCTACACATGGGAAGTGTTTAGCCTGGGGACTAATTAAAAGAAGCTCCCTACCCCAGCGGACGGGCCCTCAAAGTGGGGGACATGGGACGGAACCTGGAGGCAGGAGCTCAGGACCCCAGTCTAGCTTGATCTCTCGATTCTCTGAGCTTCAGTTTCCTGTCTGCACAATGGGTTCAGTTACTTAATGGTGCCTAGTTTTCAGCTCCCCTTCCCATCCTGGCCCCTTTCCCATTCAGTGGCTCTAGAAAAGACCTCTAAGACTAATCCCCTCATTTTGACTCTCATTCAGGCTTTACTGGGATCACTTTTCATAAGC